GTGAGCCAGGACTGCATGGTCTTGGCCCGCGCCGGGTCCAGCAGCCCCTACCCGCAGCTGGTCCACAGCAGCCTCCCTTCCCCACCACTGCTGCCTCTACATAAGATGCAGCAACAGGGGGAAGCATCACAGAGATATGCTGAGGGGAACTGGCTTTTAAGCCAACTCCCCCCAGTACTGGTTCCTGTTCTCCTCCCTCCTCCGCTGCCTTTCATACAGAGGCAGGGTGGAGAGTGGGGGGGGGGAGGGGGAAGAGAGCAAGTAGTTGAGTACTCCACTCCACTACCTGCTAATCTTAGGCTTATTGGGTAGTTGAGTACTCGCTTGCATCCCTATCATAAATACCATATATATGCTACTATGAAATTCAGTCACCCCTAGGGAGAATGGCAGCAGCTAAACAGTGCACAGCACAACAATAATGGCTGTGATTAAAAAAAAAAAAAGTCACACGGAATAAACATCCATGCAAGGCATACAGGGCCCTCAGATTTAAGGTCTAATTCAAGAGACTTCCTTCACTTGTTATACTACATGTTACTCAGTATTCTGTTTACAAAAGATGAAGGGATATATTCATAGCAGACTGGCTTAGGTATCCCAAAGCTGAGACTTTGGTTACTGAGCAAGCCAACAAAAGAAACGTCGAGTCATTTCAAGAGAATGGTTAAATGGAGGATTTTTGGAAGGTGATAATTAATTGAATGCAAGTATTCATCTTGTACTGCATTTACATTAGGCCTAATCCTGTAGTGGTTCTACATGCAGAACTCCTCTTAAGCAAAAAGGATCAGGCCAAGCATGTGTAATGGAGTCTCACCGTGTAAGAGTACGTGTGATGGAATTTTAAACATTTTAAATTTCCTTAAGGGAAAAAGTGCAACTTACCACATGCCATGTCCCATGAGCCTGCATGTCATGCTAGAACAGGAGAAAAATGAGAATGTTCTTGGAATTTGAGCCAATCCTCTGCTGTTGCTGGTGTCTTCTTTACTTAGACCTCAGGTTCATTCTTCTTTCCCTGATTCAAGAGGTGGCAACAACATGCAGCTTTTCTCCCATCTCTGAAGCGGACATTTCAGTACATTCCAATGGTGATGCACATTCCAGAATCTCATACTACCTGAAAATCACTCTGTGTCAAGGCCATTTGAAATAGAATGTGTAGCTGAAAAGTTGCATTTTTACCTCTTTCACTTTTACGCTCATATGAAAAGATCTTCCATTATAGCCATCTCTCATATTAACTTGTAATAATGACAGAGCAACACTCACAGTGGCCAAATGATGCTCAAAGTCCCATATCCCATTGAGAATAATGACACTACAATGCATACATGCAGGGGCAACTGGTGAGAGGGCACATGGTGGGGCCCACTGGCAACATGACAAACCCCCCACCCAGGCCAGGAAAGGACTGGGACAACCTTTTCTTCCCCACATCCCTCCCTGAACCAATGCGGCTCAGGGGACTAGTGGGGTTGGATTGGTGCCAGCAGCAAGAGTCTGCCCCCACCACCAAACGCACCAGCAGTGGCAAAACATGGCCCCAGCTCCCTCTGCTCCCCTAACCCCATCACTTAACTTCCCACTGGTGAGTGCAGGAGCAGTCCTGCCCTCTCCCCTGAGTGATGCGCTGGGAGAACAGAGCAAGTTAGGGCTGCATTACTTCACTTCTCCTACAGGTCAGTGCAGAGGTGGGAAGGAGGGAAGACAACTGCTGTGGCATCAGGCCCCCCGCACACCCAGAGACTCTGGCTCCACTGGCTGCTGGCCAGCCCACTGCAGATTAGAGGATTGGGCCAAAAGAAATCGGATGCAGTTCAACAAGGACAAGTGTAGAGTCCTGCACTTGGGAAGGAAGAATCCCAAGCACTGTTACAGGCTAGGGACCGACGGGCTAAGTAGCAGTTCAGCTTCTTATCCACTGTAATCCCCAGGTCCTTTTCTGCAGGATAGGAGTCTACAGTGTGCACTTGTAGCCAAGAAGGCTAATGGCATATTACGCTGCATTAGGAGGAGTACTGCCAGCAGATCTAGAGAAGTGATTATTCCCACTTATTCGGCTCTGGTGAGGCCACATCTGGAGTATTGTGTCCAGTTCTGGGCCCCCCCACTATAGAAAGGATGTGGACGCATTGGAGAGGGTCCAGCGGAGGGCAACTAAAATGATTAGGGGGATGGAGCGTATGACCTATGACTGAAGGATTTGGGTTTGTTTAGTCTGCAGAAGAGAAGCATGAGGGGGGATTTGATAGCAGCCTTCAACTTGCTAAGTGAGGTTCCAAAGAGGATGGAGAAAGGCTGTTCACAGTAGTGATGGATGGCAGAACAAGGAGCAATGGTCTCAAGTTACAGTGGGAGAGGTCTAGGTTGGATATTAGGAAAAACTATTTCACTAGGAGGGTGGTGAAGCACTGAAATGGGATACCGAGAGAGGGGGTGGAATCTCCATCCCTAGAGATTTTTAGGTCTCGGCTTGACAAAGCCATGGCTGGGTTGATTTAGTTAGGATTAGTCCTGTCTTGGGCAGGGAGCTGGACTCGATGACCGCCTGAAGTCTCTTCCAGCTCTATGATTCTAATTGCTTAAAGGGAAAGTGCTGGGAAGATAGCAGGTTTCTAACAGAAAACCACACATTTAATTTTATCATGCACCAAATGTTTTCTCCTCCTTAATAAAGGGAAATATCTTTCCCTTCTCCATTTGGTTTCCTTACAATTGCTCTTCTGTGAAAGTGTGTGAAGTGTTTCACATGCTTTTTAAAAAAAAAAATATTTTCTGTTGGGAAAGAGGTTATTTTGATTTTGTACTCAAGGAATGACAGTGAGAAAGAGAAAGGTCTTTACCTTTGCATGACCCAAAGGAAATACAGCACAACAGTGCAGCACATGCTTCTGCAAAATTGACTGGCAGATCAAAAGATGTACAAGAGACTTAACAGTAGGGATGTGAACGTGTAGTCATTTATACAATTAACCAATGAGCCCAGGCTCATCGGTTAATGTTATAATAGTTACATGCAGGGCCTCTCCCCCGCCCCCTGAGCTGCCTCTGTATCTGAAGTAGTGGGAGCAGGAGCTTGTACACACGAGGAGCTGGCTTTTAAGTTGGTCCTCTCCACGCGTGCTGGCTCCCACAGAGCCACCCTCCCCAGTCCCCTGCATTGCTGCCTCTGATACAGAGACAGTAGCGCGAGGCAGGAGGTCAAGCAGTAGCTGATGCTCTCCACAAGCACTTGCTCCCACGTGTGTAAACATGTAACTGCTATACGTTTCAGTGGTTAAAGGTTTACAGAATTAAACACATTTTAACCTCCCTACTTAATAGTACCGAGCTAAAGGAGAGTATTTCAGAAAGCCTACCTTAGGACACACAAGTATTTTAACCAGACAGGATTCTTAACTCAGAGCATCCACAGCCTTCTATGTGAAACAGCAAACCTAAATACACATCCTCAGGGCAAAGGAACTGGGGTAGAGTGCAGTGAATAATGAACTTACATTCACTAGGTCATACATGATGAGCAACTAGACAAACTCCTTAACATTAGAATTGTATTGCCAAATCCCCTCTCACAAGTGTTTCTACTACTTGCCTATATACTAACTTTTCTAGTTATTACCTACAGCTCAGGAAAAATGTTTCCAGCATTAAAATACCTTTAATTTCAAAGTAAGATACTAAATTACAGTATTTTAACCTGCTAAGCACTAAGGCTGTAAGTACCTCCCTGCAGCACTTGCAGTCATTTAGGCTGGAAAAAAGAAATCAATGCGTCTCCTATAAGGATCCCTGTCAGAGTCCAGGCACCTCAAAAACTGGAAGGGCTGTTGTACAAGTCTTTCACCAGGGAGAGAAGGAAAAATGCCTCTTCCTGGTCAATTAGAAAGGAGATGCTCAGAGCTGGAAAAAGTAGATAGTTGCTTCTACTCAGTGGCCAGCACACTCCCCTCTCTGCACTATGTTTTTTCAGATGTACTTGTACTGCCCAAGTGAAACAGCTCACTTGGGCAGGCAGATGTCTATATCTCCCAACTGAAACTGCGATGCTGTATGGCCATGGTCACCAACCTGTCAATCGTGATCTGGCATCTAAGCAAGCACACATGGTACTCCTCCCTTCCCCAGAACAGCCAGCTTCCCCGTGCTGCCTGCCTGCCTTCCTGCAGCAGGAGAGGAGAAGTCCCAGGCTGCACGCCAGCACCTTTCCCCCTGCCCAAACCCCCACCAGCACCCTGCTCCTCGCCAGACACCTACTCCCAGCTTGCTCCTGTACCTTATTTTCCACCCAGATTCTGCACCCCCACTCACTAGCAGCCCTGTCCCGCAAACTGGATCCCTCATTTTTTGGCCCCACTTCAGAGTGTAGAGGAACCCACAAATTCCACTAACCCTGGAACTCCGGAAGAGTTAATCTGGCCTGAACCAGCCCCATCACTAATGAGTTACTTGGGAGCCACAAGCCCTTTAAACAGCAACAAGTGAAAGGGCTCATACCTCACAGGCAAAGCACGGCCGGGAGCTAGAGCCCTTTCAACTGCTTCTATTTAAAGGGCTTGCACCTTCTCCGCAGCTGCTAACATGTTGCCTAGCAGCCACAGGGAAGGCACAAGCCCTTTAAATAAAAGCAATTGAGAGGGCCCCAACCTCTCCAGCTCCCAGGGAACACAATAGGGGGTGGGGCCAGAAGCTGCCACACAGGCTGGATGAAAGAGCTAGGCAGGCCAGATCCAGCCTGCCAACGGACTCTTGCCCAGCCCTGTTCTAGATAGCTACTTATACTATCCTAGTCACTGTAGTATCCAAGAACCTCGCTATAGTACATGACACAACATGATTAATATGATGCCTTGTGGTCTGTAATAAGTGCTACAAATAAGCTTAAATTAGAAATATATCTATAGCCTTCCTAATATTTGTCCAAATGTGACAAAAATACGCTTACAATTCAGATATTAAAAAAAAAAAATTGATGCTTCGGTTTTAAGTGGCATTACCTGATATCTTCATCTTTTAGTTTCCTGGCTGCCTGTTTGGACAACTTAATCTGCAAGTCCAGTCGCTGTAGAAAATCTTTGGCAGATAGTTCTTCGGGTGCAGCAGGTTGATTGTCGGGTTCTTGAGGACTGGGAGAAGACGAACTACTCTCTTCTTGAACTGTCACTTGTCTTTCACCACAAAGAGAAAGGTCAATGGTTTCATTCTCAGGAGATTCCAGTGAAGTAAATCCATTGAACAGTAACGGCTTCTCTGATATAACTGGAATATTCAATGTTTTCCTCAGAAATATACAGTCATTAGTAAACAGTTTGTTTGTCCTTTTTATTTGTTCCATCTGAAACAGAGAAAATAATAAAATTGAAGCAGTACTGATTTATGTAGAGTGCAGAATGCCACTATCCTTAAACACACAGTAGTCAAACAATTTTATAAGTGAAGCCCTTCCTTGAAACAAATCCTTGGTCTTAATTTATAATGTAGAACCCGGTTATTGAATTCAGAACCTTTATTTTCATTTAGTTTCTACACTGCCATTAACTCAGTCTTTTAGTTTCGCTTCCTCCTCTTTGACTATACACTAGGTTTTATGCTATCAGAAGTCTCCTTAAAGGTATTTTGTTCTACATGAAGAAATTTTTCCTAAATCTGAGTCTTCCATTCTTGTCACAAGCCAAATTTGTGACAATTTTATGTAAAACCAAACATAGAAATCTGTTCTTTGGACCCATATTTTGTGAGCATGGTAGTGTAAATGTCATTTGCTGGAGAAGACCATTCATTAAAATTCTACAACACGACCAGTGGCCACCCTCCTAATTTTACACATTGAATTTATACAGATATCAAAATACAGCTTGGAAGTCTTACCACTGGGTGCTCCATCTTGATCTAAGTAACCTGCCCATCAAGATGGAACACCACACATTAGAATCTAAAGTGTCAGTGTAACTTGTTTTTCTATACATGTATTAAGGGTGGGGCCCCGTGGCAGCTGCAGAATTTGCTATCACTCATGGCTACACCATCTCTACTTTCAGTTTTGTTTCTGTTTCTAGCCCTAGAACCTTAAACATGAAGTGCAAACTGAGGGAGTGATGCTTGCAGAGAGCCTGACAATAGCCCTGAAAAGTGTGAGCTGCCTCATTAATCTCTATCAAAGCCCTGTGGTTCACAGGATTCCATGGCTATGGAATTTGCCATTTTCCAAGATACTATAGAAAGTAGCCTTTTTGTAGTAGAATCTGACATCCTATGAAATTTTATTTTAGTCTCCCTGCCTTCTAAAGACCTGCCTGCAACTCTCTCTTGCTCTCCAACTTTCCACAAAAGGGATTCACATTTGGATCATCGCAACTCCCCACACTGCTCCATTCAGCTAGGTATTGTAGGCTGAAGAGACAGAGTTGAAGCTCAGCTTCCAGCCTGGAGAATCTCAGGGCCAAGACCACAGAAACCACCAATGTGAACAGAATAATTTACTTGCTTGATACCAAAATTCTGATTACACTGGTAACTGAAAGACAATTTAAAGGAGAAATCAATCAATAGAATTATAGCACAAAGGCTGAAACCCAATATGTCTACCATGACTTGCATTTGTAAAGAGCCTAGCATAATGATATGTCAGTAGACAATAAATAATGCAACCCAAAGCTAGTGTTTATCACACTTCACTGTAACTCTACCAGCGATGGTTTGTTGTTCTTCCCTGGAACACTATTCAAGTATACTTCTTATGTCCCTTCAGAGTCCATGCATTTTAGTTGTAGGAATCAGGAACATCTATGTTTTAGTTTCTGTTCCAAAATTTGGAATAGCCTTGGGTTAAGTCACTTGGGAACTGCTAAGCTCTACCTTCAGTTACATTAACAGAACTCTAGAGCCTCCAATAAATGTAAATGACCGAGAGTAGAATTTGATACCGTGAAAAATTCACAAGCGTTCCATAGGTGAAGCTGTGCCAATGCAGAAAATGCTTAAGAACTTCCCCATTATTCATGCACTCTATATTTGAGGAAAACAAACAGTAAAATAAAAATACTTATCTGCCTCAAGGGATGTTACTAGGATTAATGTTTACATGATAAAAGCACTAGGATGTAAAAGTGTATTCGATAAACCGATAAGCAAAAGCTTATAGGTTAATGCTACAGACGACACACATTTCCACCCTCACCCCCACCCCCAACACACACTTTCCAGTAAATTTTTTAGCAGCCCAGACAGCAGCCTAACTCAGTTTTAGCTTGAGCCAGGTCCAGGAGCTCAGACCAACCCTTAGACAGGGGCTGTTGCAGAAGCACAAGGCAACTGCACAGGTCCACAAGGGAAGCTGGGATTTAACTAGCTCCCCTCACAAACATCTATCACCCTGAGCTGCTGTCTCTGATGCAGTGGCAGCAGCATGGAGTGGCAGGGGGCTCCTCAGGAGTGAGGCCAGAGCACACTGGCTTCTGGCCCTGACCTGTTCTAAGAAACAAGTGACTGTCAGCACCAGTGCTCCCATCATTGCTACAACCAATTGGAGCGATATGGATGGGTGCCAGAAGAGGAAACTTCAGTTACAGTAGGGTAGACAAATAAGGTCTCAGATATAATTTTTCTTACACTGCACTTGGATAGACTGCCAAGAGCAACTTCAAAGATACCTATGGTAGATAAGTGTGATGCCCTATGTTGCAGCCAGCACCATTTTGATGAAGATCAAATATGATTAAGAAGTTAACTTTGTTTCCTTCAAAACGACTTCAAGTTGTTTCTGCAGACTAGTTCTCTTTATTCTGTTGGCTTCTCAAAGCTCCTTATGACTGAGTCCTGAATTACCCTTTTTTCTCCTCTTTCTCTATATATTAAAGAAAAATATTCCTGTGGGACGATGGAAGTAACATCATGTGCCACTTTGTGTCCCACAGGAAAAGTTTTCATCCTGTTGCCTCCCTGTTGTTGGGGTGGAAGGTGGGTGCTGATAGCTACACCACCTCCCTGATGTTCCATGGGGAGTTGCCACCTGGAGCAGCTTCTGCCTACCTCTAGGTCTCACCCAGTCTGCCCAGCTCATGCACCCACTGCGGCTTGGCTCTGTGCAGCTCAGCCTCCCCTCTCCCGATGCACCACGAGGAGCGAGGCAGCGCTGCCTCATTGGCCCCTGCATGGTGCCTGCTGTGTGTCACTGGCCAGAGGCATGCCCTACGGAGAGAGGGAGGGAGCAGGTGGGCGGGGCTGCAGGAACCAAGAGCCAGAGAGAGCTGCGTGTGGCAGCCATGGCCTACAAAGGGAGTGGGGATTCCCAGGGTGGCCGCAGGAGCCCCCAGGAAGCCGTGTCTGGGATTGAAGTTGGTGCCTGACAGGGAGTACGTGAGCTGGGGAGATCTTGCAGCGCGGCAACTTCCGACTCTCCAGAGTGGCTGCTCTGCACAGTGAGCTTCCTGGATTCACCACGAAGCAAAGCTGCCCCAACAGGACCATATGGAAAAGCTGGGCTGGGCACAGGCTGTAGCTGCTGCTGCAGTGGCCAGGACTGTGCTGCCTGGCCAATGGTACTCCTGGGGGGGAGGGTGTGCACCTCAATGAATTCATAGGAGAGGGCAGAGTGTGTGTGCTGAGAGGGAGGAAGGGGAATAGGATATATGTAGGGATGGGTGGTGCAATAAGGGGGAGATGGTAGGGATGAAGAGGATATAGGAATGGAGGCAGGAGGATGAGAAGTGTGGGGGTGCAGAGATGGGGGTTAAGGAAGGATGGGGGTATAAGATGGAAGAAGGAGGTGGGGTAGGGATTAAGGTGTTAAATATTGACTAACTGACTAATCAAATAGTCGATGCATCTTGCATCAACTATTCGATAAGGCACCTCCGCATTTGAAGTGTACAAAGGCTGTTGCTACACTTCAAAGATGAAAGCGCCACGTGGATATCGGGGTCAGATCTCCCCCCACTGACCTCAGGCTCCATGCAGCGCTGCCGCTTTGAAATGCCACAGGGAGCCCAGCGTCAGACTCCTCACAGCGTTTCAAAGTGGCAGCACTGCACAGAGCCTGGGAGTCCAGGGCTCCATCAAGTGCTGCCGCTTTGAAATGCCCCAAGAAGCCTGACACTGGGATCCCCACAGCGTTTCAAAGCGGCAGCGCTGCACTGAGCCCTGCATCAGCAGGAGAGTCCACAGCTGATCGTAGGCTCCACGTGGCATTACAAAGCAGCAGTGCCACTTTGAAATACCCCCTCCTCACACCCCCCTTGCTGCCTCTTTCGGATAGAGACAGCAGGGGGGGGGGAGAAGCGACTAGTCAACTAGCCTGTCGACTAGTCCTTCACATCCCTAGTAGGGATAGCATTGTGGGGTGGAGAGGTTCAGGAGGATGGTGAGTGCAGGAATAGAGACAGGATCAAATTGAAGTACAGGTTGTGGAGGGGGAGGAAGAGGGAGAGGGAGAGCCCTGCCTGATGGGGGAAAAACAGCGAGGGGAAGCACCTGAGGCTGGCTAACCTGCCCTGCCTGATGGCTACAGGGGTGGGAGAGCCGGAGCTGGCTCAGCCTCAGCCCGGCCCTATGTCTGGGGAAGAGGAAGAGTCAGGTCTAGCCTGGCCGAGCGAGTGGGGAAGAACAGCTCAGGGCTACCACGCCTCAGCCCAGCCTTCCCAGGCAGTTGGGAAGAAGCCAAGGCTGCCTACCTCCAGAAACAGGGGGGGTTGGTGAGCAGAGTGAGCAGGGGGTACTGCACCCTAGCATTTAATTAAATACATATTAGTGAGACCTAAGTTCTTAGAATCAAGGATTTTTGATTGTGCACCTCTTCTTAATCAGCTGGAAGAAATCATGGTTAGGAGGTGTAAAGTTCTTCATCTTCCTTGCCTTCTCAAGATATGAACATGTTGCATTCACACCACTCCTATCCCTTACTGAAAAGATTCTTTTAAAAAAAAAAGTACAGAACGTTTTCTTAAATAGAAACTTAGGACCTACTTTTATTATAGGAGACTACTAGGAATGTCCATTAGTGAAAAATCATACTCAATGCTTATATTGTCACAATAGCACATTTAAAACAGAGAGAACTAAAAGAAGTGCATCTTGATATCTAAAATTAAGGCTAAGAAGTTGTTTTGTTTCAGTTGTACTCTTTGACAGGTCTGGCTTGAAATGTATTTTTAATCGAGTAGTTTAATCAAGGTTAAAAATTTAATTTTTAAATTTTGAGTAAAAATTGAGTATTCCAAGCTGCAATGCCACTCTGAAATACTAATGTTGTTATTTAGAAATACATTTATACTAATGTTTATTTTAAATTCTTACTAAAATGCACTAATCCCAGTTCTGAATAAAGAACAAGTTTAAGCATTCCCAAAACAATTTAAGTATCACTAGATGTGAGATGAGGTGGGGGTTTTTAAGTGTGTGAGAAAAAAATGCAGATACAATCATGAATGAATAAATAATCAAATGCAGTGAGGGGTAACATGGGCTAGCAAGTAAGCTGCATGAGTGGTGCTCCATTTCTGTAGGCCACAAGATTGTCATAAATAAGATTGTCTGCTGGGATAGGGTAGTTTTGCAAGGTGTGCTGATTTAATCTTACCAGCACTTTCACTGGATACAGAGGGAGTGCATGGCTCTCTCATAGTCTATGTTCTGTGCAATAAGCATCCACCTCTCTTCACATGCCCATTTTAAGTGTGTGTCATTGTAGTAATAATGGTAGGAAAAAACTATGGGTGTGTTTAAACTATACCCCTCTGCTGACAGAGGGATGTAGATTAGGCACATCGCCACGGGGATTTAAATATCCCACACTTCATTTTAATAAAAATGGCTGCTGCTTTTTGCCGACGCGGCACTTTTCCGGCAAAAAGCGGCAGTCTAGACGTGGATCGGTCAACCTCGCCTCTTTGCCTCGTGCAAAGAGGTTTACAGGCTCAGTCAGCAGAGGGGTGTAGTTTAGACACACCCTATGTGGACAAAAACCAACAGAATCTGGCAACCCTGTGTGTGGGCCACATAGAGTATATCTACACAGCAACATTATTTCAAAATAACTAGCATTAATTCGAAATAACTCAGTCCGCATCTACACGGCAGGCAGTTACTTCAAAATAATGTTAAAATATTGTTAAGCTGGAGGACTTCTTATTCCGACTCCTGGAATGCTGGGCTGGGATGCTGGGCCTCGTTGTATGAGGAGTAAGGGAAGTCAGAGGAAGAGTGCTCTATTTCAAAATAAGTGCTGTGCAGACGCTCTCAATTTTGAAATAAGCTATTTCGAAATAAGTAACCCAATTGACATAGCTCAATTTGAGTAGCTTATTTCAAGGTAAGCTCTGCTGTGTAGATGCACCCATATAGAACCCCCATGGGCCACAGACTGCCATTAGATCAAATGGTGGACAATCTACCATCATTTACACCAATGTAAACCCCGAGTTAAACCCCACTGACTTCCATGGCATTATTTCTATCTGTAAAGTGTAATCAGGATTTGACACAAGTCGAGTTGCTCTTCATTCCAAAAGGATATAAAGACTTTGAACCTTTTCTCAATGGGAACCTGTAGTGAGGTGGTGTGGCCTCCCACTGAGCCTGAGGAGGAGACATGCCATGCTCCCCCCTCTCACTGGACCAGGAAAGATAAGGGGAGGGTCCCAGAGCTCAGCTGGACTGCAGCTGCCAAAGCAGACAGATGCTTCCTGCCCGCTCCCAGGATGGGAGACTACAGTCAGTTAAATATCAGTTAAATGAACAGACAATTAACCTCATGAATTCTTATCAGTTATTTGATTATTCTGTAGTCCCCCCCTCCCCAGGGTGGTGCTGGCAGCCTCTGTATCAGAGGCACAAGTGTGGGGTGCCAGGCAGGAGGTGGTCCGTGAAAGAAGACTGTTTAAAAATCAGCTACCCTCGGGGACCGGCTGCCTGTGGCCCCCACGCTGCTACCTCTGATACAAAGGCAACAGTGAACCCAGGCCAAACTAAGGACTGGTCAGACTTGCTGGAGCTACCTACTTACCAAGGCACTGAGGAGTTTCTGGGACTGCCACTAGTCTTCTAGTCTTACAAACGAGAGGACCCCATATACCCAGTACACCCCAAGGTGAGAGTAAAAAGTGCCCCAAAGGCAGCCACCCTTAGCCCAGCTGTGTTGCTGTCAGAGACCTGGTTATGGCATTTTGACTAGATTCCTTGCTAACCCAGTGGTATAATACAATTAGTGCCTTGGGCTGGGATGCTGGGCCCACATCCCCCAGCCACCTCACCCTTAGAAGTCTCAGTCTACCCTTGGTAGTCAACAAACAAGGCTTCTTGGCCTATCTGCCAGACCTTGGAAAGCTGACCCCCTTTCTGCTCTGCCCTGACAGCAAGCCAATGACAGAGGCTATTTGTTTCTCAACCCTGCTTGAGGGCCTAGAGTAGATGTGAATGTTTAACCAATTAGCTTCACCTATAACAGGTGCACCCTTACCTCCTTTAAATTGGTTAACTGGTTAAACATCTTTAATTGGCCCTAGCTCAGAGATGCATTTACATCTGCATACACTGCATGCCAGAGACGTATACAGCATGTAGGGCTAGAGGCTATTTGTTTCTCAACCCTGCTTGAGGGCCTAGAGTAGATGTGAATGTTTAACCAATTAGCTTCACCTATAACAGGTGCACCCTTACCTCCTTTAAATTGGTTAACTGGTTAAACATCTTTAATTGGCCCTAGCTCAGAGATGCATTTACATCTGCATACACTGCATGCCAGAGACGTATACAGCATGTAGGGCTCTGCAA